TAACGTAACGGAATACGTTACAGAATACATTTTGGGGCATGTAATCTGTAATCTGTAATGGAATACATTTTAAAAGTAACCTTCCCAACACTGGATACAGATAGCTGACAACATTAAGGGAAACCTGAATGCACGTCACCTGCGGACCACCTGCTAGCTGTGTTATGCTGTACATGGTTGTCGGGGATTTGGGGGACTTTGTTTTCTTCTACCTTAGAGTGAGGGAGGAGGGAGCAAATGAATCCCAGCTGACTGGGGCTGAAAAAATAAGCTTGAAAGCAAAAAACTGTGGAGATGTTCTCTGTTGGCTCCAACGCTGAGCTAACCCCCTGTGATCTTATTCACTGTCTAATATAGAACCATTAACACCATATTTACAGTCTGGCATACAAAACTGCCGTTTCTTTTCTTTCCTTGGAGCAAATACACGATTTGTGTTTTCAGTTAGAGTAAACATGGCAGGTGTATGGACACAAGGCTGACTACTCACATCAGCTCACCTTATTCATAAATATATACAGAAACATAACACTTCCCCATCAAAAAAGTTAATATATTTTGAAAGAATGGGGCTCCAATACCTTATTAGGACACTTAAAATGAATTATTTGTAGCATTTTGAATAATAATGTCTTTAACATTATAGTTGTATATAAATTAACATCACATTAACATGAAAAAACCTGTTGCAGATGTTGGATGTGCTGCAATAACGTGAGCTTCTGAGTGCACACAAGGCTGTGGCAGGCAGGGATGTAGATGAGTCCACTTGGGGCAGGAACTCGTCCCCGACCCAGACTGGGCACTCCTCCCCCTTTCTGGGTGAGGACCATGGCGGTGCTGATTCTCATTCCTGCTGCTTCACACTCGGCTGTGAACCCCTCCGTATCGAGCTGGAGGTTACCACCTGATGAAGCCAACAGAACCACATCATTGAGAGATCCTGGGACCACCTCAGTCGAAGCCTTCTGCCACCTAACTGTGTCTGGAGACTCTGTTCATAAAAATCATGAATAGAATCGGTGACGAAAGGCAGCCCTGGCAGAGTCCAACTTATTGCCTGCTAGGTGGGCCAAGCTCTTGCAACAGCTGTGGCTCGTAGTAACTGACCCCGTACTCCTGAAACACCTCCCACAGAACATCCCGAGGGACACCGTCGAATACCTTCTCCAAGTCCACGAAACACATGCAGACTGGTTGGGCAAACTCCCATGCACCCTCAAGTATCCTTGAGAGGGTAAAGAGCTGGTCCAGTGTTCCACAACAAGACAAAAACCGCATTGTTCCTCCTGTATCCGAGGTTTGACTAATGGATGGACTCCCCAGCATCCTGGCATAGACTTTCCCGGGGAGGCTGAGGAGTCCCTGTGCAGTTGGAGCACACCCTCTCCACATAATGTATGTGTCATGTGGTGGAAAGGGACAAGTTACCTAGGGTTTTTATTGTGCATGTTTTGCTGTGTTTTACTTTTTTAATATTTTAATATTGTACACTGGTTTATTTTTATGAGTTTTATTGCATGTTTTATGGTATTTATTGGTGACTTGTCCTGGAAAGACTCCGCCCCTACCTGATTATGAACCTGATCACACCTGGGAGGTCCCAGAGGCCAATAAGAGGGCCTGGCAGACCACAGAGAAGGAGGCTTGAGGGGAGGCCTGAGAGACAGACAGCAGTGGCAGAGTGAATGGTGTCAGGCGGCGGCGCCTGCAAGCCCGGAGGGCTGGTGAAGGCTGGCGTGGGCGGTGAACGAGGAGACGACGCCAGCGGTCTGGCTGCTGGAGTAACTGGAGGCCAGATCACGCTTCTGTGGGGAACTAGAGGGGGCAAGACAGTGCTCTACCTTCCACGGCGAGACGGGCCAGTGCCGATTGGCGCGTTACAAGGAAGGGGCGGGCAGAGTTAAGAGAACGGTAGCCGCTAAAGAGTAGTGACTGTCGCTGCCCCTTTCTTTCCAGCACGCTGGAGCGGAGAAGCTAAAACCTAAAAATAAAAATCAACCAAAAGCAAGTTTAAAGAGATGAGAAGGAGAACATGGACAGGAAGGCGAGGACGCCGCCGGGTCTCCCCCTTCTACACTGCTTGCCTGGATTTTTAATTTTTAGTGACTTTTATACCGTGGCGGACGCCACTGTGTTTTTAATGTTGTTTTATTAATGTTTACTGTGTTGTTCCCTGGCCAGGGTTGTTTTAATCCATCTTATAATTCTTAAATTTATAATTTAATTTATTTTATTTGACTTATTTTTATGTCTATATAAGCATTATATGACAGTATGTTTGCACTAAGTACCGCAGCAATTTCCTAATGTTGTAAACCTGCTCAACATTTGGAAATAAAACCCTTTGTGATTCTGATCTTACATTTTTAACTGTTTGAATATAATAAATTATATTTTAGTCATACAGTTTATAACTTCCCTTGGCTGCTCCACTGCTCCGTCCGTTTTTGAGGGTTTCCCTCCTTTAGTAACACTTGTGCTATAATCACTCCGTTACATATGTATGGTCAGAGGGTAGGATGGCAGCCTTAACACGAAATTTCTCCTTGTGGCACTAATAAAGGTATCTTATCTTATCTTATCTGTCAATGGGGCATTGGTTAATCTGGATGGTTTTAGAGACTGTACGCTCCAAGGGACTGTTACTAGGGTGACTGTAAGAGTTGTTTGCACTAATAAAGAATAATACTCGGACTTTTACCGATACCGTTTGAAAAGTGAATGTCCATAATTTAGACTTTATTTCAGGAAATTTTATTAAAACAAAGAGTGAATCAAATAATCTGAAAACATTACTTAAATCCCTCTGACCTGATGCTGACTGTGTTTCCATCTTTGGTGATGTTGGAGAAAGGATGGCACGACCAAATATGAAGATGCACTTATCTCTGCGCCACATTCAGTGGAAGTATGATGGAAATCCTTCTGAATGAAGCCTCTAACATGAGCAGCCCAAAATTACCAAACCAGTTTGCACAGTCACAGGTTGGGCTGCAGTTTTTAACTGTGAACGAATCTTCTGGACTGCTCATCTCGAAGAAGACCAAAGGGAAGAACCGAGTCTGTTCTTCACCTCGCTTTGCTCAGCGCTTCTTTCACTGGACGTCCCGTCTGCACAAGTTGTCGTATCGTCCACTGTCCACCCTCACCTTATCCATCTCTCCATCTGACTTACATGATTCAACACCAAGTTGAAACTTTAAAATCACTTCACTGCGTTTTCCTTGTTATCTCTAATGTAGGAAACATGTGTCTTTCTACTTCAGTTTGTCTTTCGCACATTTTCACATGAACCATTGTAACATGCCTGTAATCCCTTATTCAAGTACAAAGGAAACCTTTTTCTTTCTGAGCGTTTAGTAACATCACTCTCATTCAGAATCATGTATAATGTTGAGTTGGTGACACATTTCTCATCTTTCACTAATCTGCCAAGATCGAAAACGAGTCGCGTCCATGCACACAATCTGGGTATAAGAATCACTTGTATTCAGCAAAGTTGGACGGTCATGATAAGCCGTATCAGTCTTCAGACAAGTGATGCCGAAGATGAGCAACAGTCGCACAGCGACGGCTCAGGACACGGTCGATCCCCTTTTATCGAGGCTGGAGGCCAGAATCAGCCTCTGTAATGATCACACATTCACACTACTGTGATCTGCTGCTCACTCTTACTTCCTGGCACCAAACTGTTGTGGAAATTCAGTGCATGAAATAAAAGAAGCCACGCTGTTAGAGTTATATTTGAGTTTATTCTTGCAAGAAGGAATTCAGTCACAACAAGGCTCTCCTGCACTGTCCTGCACAAAGGATCCAGACCCCACTTATACACAACGTGGGAGGAAATCTCCAAACTATTTGTCCTGTTTCCAAGTGAAACTCCAACACTAACATGCTGACGTGTTTTTATCTGCTGTGTTTGTCTTGATGAAATCATCCCAATGAGAGATGTGGTTTTGTGTATCTGTTAGGATCCTTGTGGCAGCTGCTCGGTCTCTGTGCTGCTGTTGTCGTAGTCTTTGTGTACGTCCAGTGCTCCATACAGGCCCTCCAGCATAGCCAGTACTCTCCTCTGGATCGAATCCACCTGCTCCACTGGGCAGTATTCATCCAAACTGGACCTGAAAACACACATGAAGATAGTTAGACCTCTTTCTGTATCACTACACTGTTGAAGGAGCTGATTTACCTGGACAACGTCACCAGTGTGGGTTTGGGAAGGACCTTCAGGAAGAGCTGCACAGCTGAGATCAGTCTGCCGATCTCTTCATCAGAGCTGATGTGATGAGGAAGCTCGACTGTGTCGCAGGTTAACCCTGCCTGGTGAACCTGAGGGAGGAGTGATGAGGCGGGAACAGACTTTATTCATATTTATTTATGTTCCCATTCACTAAATATAACTTTAATGCTATTATTTATGATTATTATATAACATCATTACCATTTCATAGTCAGGGCATGAATTTCTTGCCTTTAGACTGGAAACCAGTTGAGGCAGTGACTCCATGCTGAAAAACACAGAACCAGTGAGACGATACATTCGACTGGGTGACACAGGCGGGGCTGTGATGACCGAAGCTCGTGCCGACAGTAATCAGCACAAACGCTCCTCGTTTGTGAGAGGACGAGCTTCAGAGCGAATGTCAGTACACAGCGTGTGGAAATGTTGGCACAGCTGTAGAACAAACACAGACCACATCTGCTCGGGATGCAGTCATTTCCACGCCTCTCTGCACACCCAAACCCCGTCCCCTTAGAGGCCGCTCCCGCCTCACGCCTCACGCCGCGTCCATCACAGCTGCAAAACTTCACTTTGTCATCTATCATCTCTTTACTCCTCACTCACAGTTTCTAACTAATTTCTCAGACTTTGTATCTGACTCAGTGTTCAGCTTAAATCAACCATTACTGTGTCTGATTTAATCTGTGTAGGTCAGGGGTCACAACCTTTAACACCAAAGAGCCGTTTGGAGTCGGTTTCCACACAAAAGAAAACTCTGGGAGCCGCAAATACTTTGTGACATCTAAAATGAAGATAACACTGTATGTTGTTTTTACCTTTATGCTTTGTGTGAACAACTAAAGTGTGTTGCTTAAATCCATGAAGTGCTGCAGAGAAAATTACATTTTATTTATGTAATTAACACATTTTCAACTCTTAAAGAAATATAACCAAAGGAAAGCTGAACTAAAATGATCCAGCAAACAAAAACTGTTGTGAGCCTCCACCCTTATATCTCCTTTGTGCTTTTGGAGCCTTGACCTGACTTTTAAAAAGTAATTGGAAAAAAGCTCTATGCTGCTGAAAGATGAAAAATAGATATTTACAAAATTCAGCCTAAATATGTATTTTACCAGGTTAATGTGTGTGGCGGAGCGTGGTCTGCAGCGCTGCTGCAGGGGAGACGGACGCACCTTGGTTGTTGTCGGGCTGTGAGCTGCAAAGCTACAGCCAGCTGTGTGCGTACAGCAACCGTGTGTGAAAAGTGGTCAATAAAGAGATGCTGAAAAGCGTGTTCATGCAAACATCGTCGGGTCTGTCGTGATATGTTTACAATAAGACTTCTGCTCCTGAACCTCTGCGCACAGCGTCTGCAGATCAGGCTGTACAAAGTACTTTCATCTTTACAGGACTGTAAGCTGTCGTCTGTGAGGCGTGAGCGTGTTTGTTTTTAACATAGTTCACAGTGGAGTTGCTGACATAATGTGGATCCGAAGATCCATAACTGGCTACCTGGGGTTGAAAGTCTCGATAAATTGACGGCGTTTCAGCAGGTACACCGGCTTCCACGAGTGTGACGCTTATTTTGATGGTCTGCAGCAAACTAGAAAACTGCTCTGTGGTCACATTAATCTAAATGTGAAGCCGTTTTTGGAGAACATGGATGAACATGGATGAACATGTTCCTCAACAACAAACAAACAAAAAAGGCTGTTGATGAGGGAGCGTGAGCTCCTTCAGTGTCTGCAGCAGGATCATGTCAGCAGAGGTGAGAGTGGTCTGGTGGGAAGCAGCCATGAAACTCACGACACCAACAGATGAAATAAGCGATCAGGCTGATCTGAGGTTCTGAGGACACGTATGTTCCTCTGTTTGCACCGCGGACACGAGCAGCAGCTTCTCTGACTGTTTCAGCCCCGTCTCTCAGACAGAAAACCTTTAACACGACTCTGCTGCCACAGAGACGTCTGTCAGGTTATTAGATTAGTGTTTTATGAACATTTCACCCGCTGGAACAAAAGTGCTTCTTATTCTCATGAGCATACAGCACAGGGACAGTCAGCTGGGACGGAGACATTATAAAAAACACGACCTTCAAACAGCTCAGTGTTTGACCAACGCATGAAGTTTAAAACTTTCATTCCTCCTTCGTTACGTCTCTAACCTTCAACTCTCTGCTACAGACGATTGATTTCATGGAGAAACAGTGAAAGCTGAAGTCAGAGCAGAACTTTACCCAGGGTTGGTGGCCCAGCGTGTGACCGTCTCCTCTCCATCATCATCCAGGAGATCAGCAAAGGCTGCTTCCAGGTCTTCTAACTGGCGTATACGATGATCTACACACTCACCGAGCTCCTCCTTAACAAGCACACAGACACACATTCAGTGTTTATTTGTTTTGCCTTTTATGAAAGCACAGCTTTAAGATTTCTGTTCAACAACCACACAGAGACTTTGGTAAAAGCACCTGTGCTGGTCAGTGTTCAGGTAAGTTTCTCCTTCTACTCTGTATTTCTACAATGAGGTGAAGCATCCGGATGTCTCGTCGCCCATCAAAACTCCAAGTTAAGTTTTATGTGAAATAAATGGATCAAACTTTACTGTCAGTAAATGTTCAGACATTTACTCCTCAAATCACCAAAACTATTTACAGGAAACAGTTTAAAAGAAAATCAAATACATGAAGATAATATTCCTCGTAGATGCCAAACCAGATGTGGAAGTTATTTCTGAGACTTTAATTTTCATGTTAGATGTTTGCTGGGTCGTTGAATTATAAACACATCCTTCATCATTCTTTAGATTTTATTGTGCACACTGTGCAAAAGTCTTCATGGACCCATAATTCTGTGTTTTGCATACAAACTTTGACCTATTGTATTTTCTAAGTGCTGTCTGTGCTTCATGAAGGCCTCTCACAGTCGTCCTACGGACTCTGACTGCTTTTTAAATCCTTCAGTCGTGTCCTCGAACCTCAGAGGTAAACTTCTTTCAGCAGTGTTAGCTTTATAGCTGTGCACTGTGTTTTACGTGGGCAGGCTGGGTGTTTGGACATGTGAGCAAACAGCAACCTCGTGGTGCCTTCAGGAAAACGGGACATTAGATTAAAGATTAAAAAAACTAAAAAAAGAGTCTCTATGACAGTCGTGGTCAGAAGTTTTGAGAATGACGCAAAAATGAGTTTTCAGAACGTTTGCTGCTTCAGTCTTTATGATGCGATTTACAGATCCTGCAGAATGTGATGGAGAGGTCAGATAAACACAAAGTCTTTCTTTGCCATCTCCACTGCTCTGCATACACGGACCTGCTGAGACTATTTAATGATCTGCTCGTTAACTCGGGTGAGCATGTTAACGAGGCTGGAGATCCTTATGTCATGCTGACTGCTATCACTAAAGTGAGGGTGATGCTCAAAATCATTGTTCTTCCTGGTAACCATGGTTACCTGCAAATAAACATGTGCAGCCATCACTGTG